AATGTGGCCCTGAAGTAAATCGCATGCACAGAAAAGGACACGACGTCCCTCCTTGGTATAACATGGAAGGGAATGTTGTTCTTAACACTTGTGTGACTGTCATCATGGCCTCACCTGGCATTATGGAAAAATTAAATGGTTATACCTAATCATAAATTTGTATGTTACGACCCATTTTGGTGTTAAAGAAATAGCTTGTGGAGCGCACAGTGAGTAATAGTAAACTAAATAAAAGGTCTGATATTTCTAGAAAAGTTACAACTGACTGTAATTTATTTACAGTGCTACTAACAACAAACATACAATATCCCATTGATCAAACCAAATAATCAATAAATAATAAAAAAACTCACTAATATAAACAATAGACTTGAACAAGATTGGTTTTAAAATAAACTAAATCTAAGTACCTATTAGGGCTATATTTTGCTATATCTCGCTATACGATATATATCTCGATATCTTTACAGGATTTATAACCCCCCCCCCAAAAAAAAAACCCTACTGCAAAAAAAAAATAATACAAATGTCAAAGTCGTTTTTTATTGAAGCTCAGAGGTGCTTCTGCAAATTTTCTTTCAGAAATCCTTGTATACATATTGCCTTTTCATTCAAAAATAAAACAACTAAAAAACAGGCAGTGCATACAAACAAAGTGCTCCTGTAACATTTAGGATATAAACAAAATCCCTGATAACATAAATAATAATTTAACTGTAAAATAATACACATTGCCTTCTTTTCATTCAAAAATAAAACAACTCAAGCTCATCTTTGCAGGACCTCTGTTGTAAGTAACCTTTTCCAATTCAGCAGCAAGCCGCGCTCTCTCTGTAGTGTACAGTCACGGGAGTTCCTGTCTCGAAAAGTAATGCTGACTGGGTAAACTGTATCTGACTGGGATCAAGTGTTTTTAGCATACGTTTAAAGCCACGTTGTTCAACGACGGATATGGGTGCCTTGTCCACCGCTATGTGAAATGCCACGGACTCTGTGATGCTACACCACCTTGCGCTCTGTCTTTCATATTCTACACTCCGCGTCATAGAATTGTGGAGATTAGTTGAGCTTTGGTTGGCAGCAACTTTCACGGCATTCACGGCAGTAGACATCTGTCTGTTGTTCGTCTGACGACTTAAAACCAAAGTATTTCCATATAATGGAGCCAGCTGTTCTTTTTTTGCAACAAGTTCTGTAGCCTCCGGGCTGGTTGCGGGTGCCGCCATGTTGAATGAGATGACAGGCAAGGGGAGGGGAAACAAAAGCAAGGAGGCGGGGACGAGCGCAGCATAGAGAAGCCAAACAAGCAAAGTGGTGAAAATTAAATATAGACATTATATCGATATATACGATATGCCAGAATTCATATCGAGTTTAAAAAAAAAATCTCGATATATTTTAAATATCGAGATATCGCCCACCCCTAGTACCTATAAACAAAATCTAGTAAATATAAACACTAAGTACCACTCGTAAACACACACACGCACGCACACACACAAAAAAAACACTTTATACAGAGATTTTAACACCGTGTGTCTTTTGCTTTGAGAGAGAGAGAGAGAGAGAGAGAGAGAGAGAGAGAGAGAAATCACACAGACCAGTATGGAAGGAGAACGGGATCACAAGTCCGACAAGACGGGGCAAAAGAACGGGTACTGGTGCTAGTGGCGTGGCAACACTGAACGGATGACCAGAATGACAGACAGCCACACCGGACTAAGACACTGCGAAAGACAGGGGCGAACGAATGCAGAGCAGGCCAATTTTATAGGCCCGCCCACTCTAGAGGGGATTGTGAAACAAAACCCATTCATAAATGTAGGGGAGTTTCACAAAGAGTGAACCACCATTCACAGATATATGCAACACATGGGCCTGAGCTGTTGCATCCATGTCGAGCAACAGTTGAACAAGACACAGCCTCAGAGGTGTCTTGCTAAAGACAAAAAAGATTGTTCTTTGTTGAAAATAAATGTAGCATTTTCTTTGGATGTCAAAATTGAGAAGTCCAGCAACTTCTTCCAAAAGTTGAAATGCAGGTTTATCATAACGCTTTTGTGCATTTTTTTATGCAACAGTTTGTGTATGGAATTTTTTTTTTAATTAAACAAAACACATTATTGGTTTCTAATCAAATAATTCCTATATACAAAATATCAACAAACAATACAAGTTCCAGGCAATTGTAATTAACATTTCAGGAATAGTGAAAAGGAGGAAAGGGAACCCATGAAAAAATAAGTAAACGAAAATGTAATTATAGAAAATAGGCACAAAGGCAACATAGATATTCATAGGATGAAATACATTTCAGACACTTCATAAGAGGAATAAGTTCTTTGAAAACTACATTACATAAGGGAGAAGCCTCAACAGCAATGAATCTCACTGCAACACTGATCTGGGATCGGGTAATGCAACTGAAGGGCTACCGGTAATTAAACGAGAAACCAAATTATTGATGGTTATTATTGAGAACATGGGGACAAAAAAAGTTTCAAACTGTGTTGGTGTAAATATTGCAATAGCTTTATAACTGGACCATACTGAATACAACAACCTTGATCGTACATTATCTAAATGATCTGTAAGCTGTTTGAACATTTGTTTAGAGATTGTCAATTAATTGTAAACTCACATTTTGGTGAGTGGTAGCTTGGTTTGCTAAATTTGTGAGCTATTGCTCTCCTCATGGTCTAATACTTCATCAGGTAAGTCCTAATGAAAGAGACAAAAGCCTTATGTTTACCTCCTGTTGCAAGCGACTCATATTGTTGCTGCGGTCCTGCAGGCTCTGCAGGAGTCTGTCCAGCACCAGAGACACATGTGAGTGCACCCACTCACTCGGACCACCACTACTGAGAGAGCTCAACACCAGGCCCACGCCCAACACACAGCCAGCACTGAGAGACAAACAGTACCCACAAGTTCAGGATGTCAGCCTTTGGTTTTGACACATACAGTTGCTGCTCATAAAATTACAATACAGTGGTACTTCGAGATACGAATGTTTCGAGTTACGAAATGTTCGAGATACGAAAGGTCTCGCGGGAAATATTTTGTTTCAAGATACAAAAAAACACCAACAGTTCTGCTCTATTATCCGATTGTTAAGTCTGACGTTGTGCTACGCTTCCGGGTCCTGGTGCTCCATTCTCCCATTGCAGACAGTGCTAAAAGGGGGCTGATACGTTTTAAAACACTTTAAATCAAGCAAAACATTATGTATAGATCACAAATAATGTGCTTAAACAAAAGTTAGAGTCAAGGTGTCGTAAAAGAAATAACGTTTATAACGTGGAAAGTGCTGTTCTGTAGCGCAACTTAGAGAAACCCTGTGATGCGTTCTCAGAAGCGTTGCTCTCCATCCCTTCTCGCACGCTCGGTACTGTCTGCGCTCGTGCTTAAAACCATGTTGCTGTTCGTAACTTGTGAAATACCTAGAGAAAGTTAACTTTAACTCATACGTAGTGCCTTAGTGTTTTCTTCCATCTGTTCCACCTCCTCCGACACATTGCCTCACTCTCAAAATAAGGTTACACATCTTACATATTACATATTTTGCATGTGTTTTATTCTGTTTTTGTGACATTTATTACATGAACAATGTGTATATTTAAGGATTGAAGAAACGCTACTCGGTTTTTAGTTTTTTTTTTTGTTTACTTATTCTGTTGTTTCTGAGAGACATTGCACGGATTAGGCGTTTTACATGTAAACTTGCTTCGAGATACGAAATGTTCTGAGGTACAAAAGCCACCCTGGAACGGATAAATTTTTTTATCTTCAGGTACCACTGTATAACAAAAAGTTTGATTTATTTTAGCAATTTCACACAAGTTAAAAAAACACATTCATTTCACAAAGGCTGTTGTTAAATTGTTGTATAATTAAGTTGTATAATTGACATCTAATGAAAACCCCAAATTGCAGAAATGTTGAATATTGTGAAAAAGTTCTATAATGAGGTTGCATTAGGCACCTGTTGCCAAAATCTAATCATTAACTCAATACACCTGCAAAGGCCAATAAATGGTCTCTCAGTCTTGTTCTATTACACTACACAGCTATGGGGGATATTGAGAAATTGACAATTGCCCAAAAGATGACCACTGACACCACAAGAGCCACACAACTCTGAATCCAAGCCCCTGAAATCCAAAGTTTTCACAGTTAGTTATAGTTTGGGATGCCATGTCGTGACGTTAGACTTAACAAGCGGATAATAGAGCAGGACAGTCTGTGTTTTTTGTATCTTGGATATCTCGAAGCAAAATATTTCCCGCGAGACCTTTCGTATCTCGAACATTTTGTATCTACAACGCATTCGTACAGGGTCGAGGTAGGAACTTACAAAACAGCAAGGTTTTCTTCAAACTATTTCCAGGTTTCTTCAGACCAGAGAATGAAATAGGCGAATAAAAGCCTTCTCATCAACTACACCCTAAGATTCATGCGCATTCTACTTGTGGTTTAACTCTGAGCGAGCTTCAATCTTGCAACCACTCTTCTTTTGATTTGACTATGATTTTGTAAAAGCAGGTATATAATATCATTTTCTTTCAGGATTTTCACATCAAGTACCAAAATATGTCCAAGTGCCCCCATAATGAGCATCGAGCTTTTACACCCCATCCACCCCACCCAAAAGTGTGAATGCAGATTAGCTGCATTACTTACATACGCACTTATTTACACTCAATATAACTGTACAAAGAGTTTAGTGAGGGCCGGCCAGAGAGAGCCGATTAGCCGTATGTGGCCCACGGACCATAGTATGTCCAACAAACGGTTATTGTTGATACTATGGTTTCAGCTTCAGGTCACTAAGCATGTAGATCTAAGGATCACTGATATTTCTCAAGATGAGATCTTGCCGGCAACTCTCGAGTCATGTTGGATTTCTTCCATTTTACATTTATGCATTTGGCAGACGCTTTTATCCAAATCGACTTATATTTTGAATAAATTAACTTTTTTTTTTATTTGTAAGTTCTTGCTCTCCCTGAGATTGAACCCACAACCTTTGCGTTGCCATCACAATGCTCTACCAACTGAGCTACAGGAAAGCTGTGCCTATAATAGTGGCAACAGTTATTTCCTTTGCACCAACTGTAGTTTTCATGCGGGTCAACAGTTTTGTCCCTGGTGTCATTTATTCATCTTAAATCTTTCGGATAACAAGCTCATTTCTGCTCTGTTAGGCCAGAATTCTAGAAGATTGGTAGGTAATCAAATATTTATTTTGGAAAAAAATAATTATTTAAATGTAACGACACAATGTTTAGGGTTTTAAAACTCAGTTTCTGACAGATTTCTTCATTCTTTTAAAGTAAGAAAACTCATCTGCTTATTTGAGCCACTTCTAAAGGTGGTAGTTCATGAACCTAAAAAGACTACCACATCAACATAAATATTTATTGGAAGTGGATTTATAGCAAACAACAAAATACTAAGAAGGTTAACATCAAATTAAAAGTAGATTGACTAACTTGTGCTCTATATTGGGATCAAAGGAGCAATCTTCCAGCCGTTCCAGATGTTTCATCAGCAGCTCTGCTACTGATTGCCCAGAAATATCACTGTAAGGGAATCAATGGAATCAATGCCATGTCAACCATAGAACGCAGGGTGAAAATGCTTAATCCCGCCCCACCTGGCTCTCTCTTCATGAAGTGATACCAGACACATGGCTAGACCCAGAGCACAGTGAAACTGGATTGCCTGAGAGTCGTCTGCACGGGGTGAGGCAGGGAGCCCTGATGCCAATGTGTCCAGGACAGAGGATATGCTGTCTCTGCGGGAGGTCAGTAGAACGGGAACTAGCATCGCCAGGCTTAGAGCGGCACACGAGCGTGCAATCACACTCGCTGTGTTTTCACCAGAGTATGAGCGCTGAGAAGAGACAGGCAAACAAATAAACTCTTGTGTGATACATGTATAAGAGATATTTTAAGAAGACGATTCTATGAAATCGACAACAAATGTTTCTCTCTCTCAAAATTTTTGTTGTGAGATACGAACACGATTACCTAAGGCCACAAATTAAAATTGGACAAACTTTTGTGGAAAAAAATATTTACTAGTTGAACTATAATCACAGTGTGAAATGGTATGGACTAATATTTTTTGTATTTATAAATGCTTATCTATTGAGCAAATTTATTGTACAGCGAACCCCTCGCTATAAAAGTTTAGTTGCAGGTAAATTGGTGTCTAGAACAAACTCTATAAAGCACATCACACCAATTCTTCATAAATTGCATTGGCTCACAATAAATGACAGAATTATTATATGGTTCTCCTTTGACCCAATCTATCGCCATATTGGTCAAAACTCCTGATAGCAATATTCCAAAATGATCCATCAAATTAGTAATTAATAAATTGTACACCTTAAAAATCCTTCTGTTAGCACATTTTACTATGAAATAAAGGATCAGTTGAGAAACAAAAAGTCCTGATCATGTGATCTTAAAACTTAGGCTCAAAACATTTCAATTTCATCTTGCAACAGGTTTCTAATGTGTTTTTGTTTATTTTTAGGTGCGCCTATATTTTATACTGTGAATCTATGTAGTGTGTGCTTTAGAACCTTGTGGCACACAGATGCTATGCGTTTCTCCTCTTCCCTTCTTTCCTCTTTTACACAGCCTCCCTCTGCCCTTTATGTTTTAATGTTAAAGCGGCTTGCCACAACCCTCCGGGGGTTCCTTGCGGTCCTTCTCACTCCTATTTGTCATGTCTTCTTAGTCTTTTCTCTAGCCCTCCTCTCTCCCCTCTATGAACTACTATTTGCCCTGAGGTTCTCTGTCTAGTAATTATGTTCTGTGCTATTTAGTAATAAAAATACATTTATTCTAATATTCCATGCTCATCCATGACACTTTCAAATTAAACGCATCATTACACTTTTATGTACAACGCATTGCATCAATGGCTGTTGAGTTATACAATGTAGCAGGAAAGAATAAAACTATACAAAGATCTAAGAGGTCTCATGAGTCGTGATGATAAGGAAGTAGCGAGATGTGAGCTGAGTGACTTCTTAAACTTTTACAAAGGATGGTAGTAACTCACATGAATGAACCAAGGAAAGACTTGTGCTTTTGGGTTACTGCTGCTGCTGACGATGCTGAGCAGTGTGTCAATCACCATCGACAACCAGTGAACCATGGGGAGGAAACCTTGATCCACCTATGAATAGAAACTTTGCTTTGCTTAGCATGTTATCTGTATGGTTTGACAGAATTCTTAATAAAGGCACACCTCAGAACCACTTTCAGACAGTGCAGGAATGTTGCTCTCATATCTTCTCACGGCAACCGCCAGACCACTCAATGCCAACACTGAATTACCCTGAACAACCGGGCTATCTCTGGCAAGGAAAAGTTAAAAGACAACCGTAGAGATCATTTACCTCATAATTCACCTTCAATCAAAGCAGAAATAGGCTTGAATGGTTAATTCATCATTTACATACGATCAATAAAAGTTTGGGATCAGAAATGATGGGACATGAAAAAAGACTGACTCACTTGGCAGCAGATTTGACCACATCGGTGAGATGGTCTCTTGCCCTGAAAAGAGAGAGAGAGAGGTTTAATACTGCACAGCTCTCCTCAACTCACACAGCTGGATACATTTTTATGCGCACATGAAGGATAAAAAGGTTCTGATCGCACTTATTCCCTGACAATATAGCACCAGTGTCCTGTTAACACCTAGTTTGCCCCTCATAGTTTCTCCTTTCGTGTAAACTATGCTTTCTTATTGTATGATTAACTCTCATACTTTTTGAATTTGTTTCCACAAATCGGGTCGATGTGACCCATTGTTGCATATTGCTGGTGGATCATTATGCCTCTATAATAAACCATGGGCACAAACGGGCCATCACACCGGACCGAAAAGAGTGGTGCCAACGAGAAAGAGCTTCGGAGTGACATTGAATTTGGTTTTCACAAAGATCTTGGATTTTTAAAAATCCAAGATACAAAAGGTCTCTCTGGAAATATTTTGCTGTGAAATACGGAAAAAAAATTCCAACATACGAAAAAAACAGTTCTGCTCCCCTATTGGTCAGATCATACCCAGGACGCCATCTCAGGAGAGCTTTCAGTCTCCACATGGCTTGGTTTTGTGTTTCTGTTTGTAATTTGTGAAATATTGTGTAAAATATTACGTTGTGCCGTAATGTTTTCAGCCATCCATTCTCCACCCACACCACCTCCTCCAACAATTCATCACATGGCACCACCAACAGTATAAACCGTTTGACATCCATGATTTCATCTCTGTTCCTTGAATTCTCTGTCATCGTCTTCTTCTTGCTCCTCTTCTTTCCTGTTTACCTGTTTGGCGCAGTAAACATCTGTTGTAGCATAAATGCCATCTTCAGACAAGGAGCGTCATTGCAACAATATTTTCTTGATTCAAACGAAAAGCATCCTACTGAAAAGCCATCAATGGATTCGAGCGAATCTCAGATTCGGACCGGTTTGTGGAGGCTTTTATCCTGTTTTTAGATCAGTGTTTCCACCTTTGTCCAATGTGTCCTTAAACTCCTTTGTTTCTTCAGTTCCAGGCTTGATCATTGCAAATTGATGTTTCTGAGTCTGGGATCTGTAATCATGTTTTTTTTCCTGATTCATGTTCCTAGTTAAGTATGTTTCCTCTATAAAACATATTTTTAATTTCTTTGCAACCGCCCCCATCATCACTAAACAGCACTAGAAAGTTTAGAAAGTAGTGGTTTGTGAAGCAGACACAATATGTTTTTTTTTTTGTCTGACTGGCGGCAGATGATCAAAGCCGATGTCTGTGCAGTTGCGTGCTACTGACAAAGAGTGCAACGCATAAATCAGAAGAAGGCTCTGAGGATAATCAGGAGATGCTCACAGAGGTGGGCTGTTGAATAAACTCCTCAGAGTCTTACTGAAAGAATGAAAAGATACAAGCAGTCTATAAAAGATATATATATACACCATATGGGGGGAGGGGGCACATATACATTTCGTCTTTGACATCTACAATGTTCAGTGGAGAGAAAAACCATCTAAAAGTGTCCCAGCCAAAAACTTACTTTAGGCATTTAGCAAAAGGCAGTGAGCCAAAAACATTTCAGTTCCCTTAAAATGCAATGGCCAATGCTAAAACCATGGCAACAGGAGATTAGAAACTTTAACCCTCCATTCCGGAAGTCAACACGATTCAGGTCATATGATCATAAATGATCCAGGGACAAGCGACCCAATCACACAAAGGCTATGCTTGGTGATGCTGGTCATCGTCTGAACATCTACTGTACCTCCATCACTCACTCATCGACTGACAAGCTGTCAAATTGGCGTCTGCCGTCTAGAGTGCTGAGTTATTCTTTTTTGCCAGACTGCACGGCTATACGATAGGGCACATTATAGTGAGAGACTGTGAACAATAACAACCCGTACATTACAGAGGATTTAAACTGGAAGATTATATGGGTGATGCGTGCAATTGAATGTGACTGAAATGTCAGTCTTCATTCAGAGTCCTTTGAAAGCAGCTGAAAAGGCCAGAGCAATCACAATTGAGCAGCTCAGGATGGTGACACAAGTGAGATGCATCAAATAATACCCTCACATTCCTCCCTACGGCGAGGGCTTCAATTACAGCTGGATCTTTAGAGGAGCTTCTTCCAGACTGCCAATCATCCTGAGTTTCTGAGAAAGCAGAGCTTTTTTACGAGCAAAATATAAAAAGTATTTAGAGTCTTGAAGTTGGTTATGGTCAAAACAAAGATGTCTCTTTGCAGTATTTTCATTTAATATCTTTGTATAGAAATAGATTTGTATTAGTTACAGTTAGGTCTGTTGGACATATGTACCTTGAGTCACAGTTTTCAGTGAGGAGCATCTCGATTGATTTGCTGGTGTTCTGAGTGCGGTGCAGCTGGATATGCCTCCAAAGGAGCATTACAATAAGAGAGTTTAGAAGTTTTCACCTGGAGACTATGTGCGATGAATGATCGAAAAGACCATGTATTTGTAAAACACAATAAAAAAACAACTTGCTTTGGAAACAGTGTTT